TTTAAAGGAGAAGTATGAGGTGCGTGCTTTTCACTCACCTCATAGATCTAGCCGACCTGTGACAATGAGACTGTCACAGGTCGGCTCAGTAGATCGGGAGGTGAGCGAACACATACCGGGTTCGCTCACCTCTCGATCCTGTCACGGCTGTCCTGTCGATTCCCCCCTCCCCGCTCCGATCTGCCAGCGCTGACTGGCAGAACGGACGGGGGAGGGTACAGCTGGCTCTGCCTCTAGATATGCAGAGCCAGCTGTCACTCACGCAGCTGGGCGGATCTCGACATCGATGTCGGGATCCACTCCGGCGTCTCAGCATACCGCGAGCTGTAGCTCCCTATATACTGAGCCTAGGGTAACGGGAGGACGCTAGTTTGTGTCCTCCCGTTACCCTAAGGAGAACTATGGGGAAAACACTGACCCTATAGTTCTCCTTTAAACTTGTTCAGTTGAGCTTTGAAAATGAAAGCTGGAAGCTGATTGGTTGCCACCACAGCTGCTCCAGTCTTAGTAAATCCCACTCGCATTTCAAAACACGTACCAAACTTCATGCGGATGTACTCGTAGGGGTCCTCCTGCCACAGCTCCTCGTCGGAGTCCGTGTAACACATCAGGGGGAAAATGACGTCCTGAATGATACCCTAAAAAACACAAAGACGTGTCGATTACCCAGAATGCCACAGTTCTCAGCCTTGTAATACCGCAAACTATGAACAAGGCAACCCTATACAACCAATGGGAGGAATTTGCCTCAATTTCACGGTAGCTTCTATAAGAAAAACCCGCACGCATACGGAGACTTGAACAACGCAGCGCCCCTCCAGCTCACGGTCTCCATGTGAACAGCGGGTGACGCTGTGATGATGAGCTCACCTGGATGTGGGGCTTCAAGTTCTTCCAGGTCACCGCGTGTGACACTCCTTGGTTGAGATAGTTGAGCGTTTGCTGTAAGACTCGGGGAGCCATGTACTGCTTCTCCTTATACTGGTAAAGAACTTTCAGCAAGACCTGCAGGCAGGAAAAAGTATTACCCATTTACTACATATCACCCCCCGATAATCAGCGCAGCATTTACAGCCATGGCTTGTGGGCATGTGTGAGAGTTTGGAGGCTGGCCAGCGAGGAGAGCGTCCAACAGACGGCACTAGACCAGTACTATGATCTCATGTTATCTCCGGCTGCAGGATTTGTGTGAACGGAGCAGGGAGCCGGCAGCACGCCGACACACCGCTCCACCAGACACAGACTGACACTGCGCACACAGCACTGCTGCCTCTGAATGAACCACCGTCCACATCGGGACCAGTCCTGGGAGGGCATCTCAGAGAATTTCAAACTATACATTGAAACGGTTTAAAGAAACTCACTTTGCACCCCACCAATCCCCCCAATTGTACTCATTACCAACAACCCCGGTGTCACTCCTCAAATCACACAATCCCATAATGCTCAGCTTAGGTCTCTGCAATAGCATCCCTCCATCTGAGGTGACATTTTGGAGGCTGAGTAGGGGGGCGGAGTCTGCAGAATTGTGTCAGATCGGCAACCCGTGCTGCATGACTTGAATTTCCGACAATTACCTGTCCAGTGCCATCACTCGTTGCCGGCATGCAAGCCCCGATGACGAGGATTCGTGAGCCCCTGAAATGCGTTTGCTTCACCTTCTGACCGCTTGTGAACTATAAACTTTTCCTGGACTAACTCCGAGTTGTGCCGCTCTTTTTATATAGACTGCTTCACGGACGCCGACAGAGAGCAGCCTCCGTAAGTGGGAGCGGATACTAGTCCTCACGCACATCTGTCCCCGGCGATTACCAATGTGTGTTCAATCTAATAGGTGAGGAATGCTGAAATAACCGGACACTGCCGCTAACTGAATGGACAAAGTGACCGTGTAACTGCCATGACTGTAACCTGGACCCCTGCCTACAATACATGTGCACCGACACTGCACCTCAGGCCTGGTTCACACCTAGGCGTATTGCATGTGCGCGTCTGTCGCACGGTTTTTTTAACCGCGATTCGCGGTAAAAAAAATTGCGCGACGAACGCGCGTTTCCGAGGGCTACTTGGCTGTATCCCAATGGAAACGCGCAACAAAAACGGCCCAAAGTAGTACCTGGACCTTTTCAGGCGTGGGCCGTTTTGTAGCGCGTTAGGGACGGGCGGAAATACGCCGAGGTGTGAACCAGACCCATTGAATACAATGGGATTTATATTTTTGAGCGTTTTGTAGAGCGTTCGTCGAGCTTAGAACGCGCTACAAAACGTTCAGGTGTGAACCTGGGCTCAACCAAACCTAACATGACTCCACAGCCACCTGACTCTAGATGTTCTATGTCACCTCAGATTTATTGTAAAGGACATCACCTGGGGACTAAAAGGACAGCAGGATTGACGTAATATTTACATCTACCTCCATATGATCCTTCTAGTTATGGACCTGAAATCGGTGCTTGAAGCAAAGCAGTGCGTACGTCTTCCTACTTCAGCTCCATATGAGCCCTGCTGACACCCCCACGCAGTTTTCAGACTCCAGGCATGGAGTCAAGTCACCGCCATCTCTTCCAGGAGCGCTCCTTTAAAGAGGGCCCCCCACCATGGAGACCTAGACTGGTTTATTCCCGGGCTCAGGGGAGGTGGACAGTACCTGTTGAACGCCAACTGCAAAGGCCTTTAAGAAAACTTCTGCAAATTCATTGTACTCTTTGGAGACGTTTCCGGGACTTCCATACCTGGGAAATGCAGAAGAGGTTTTGGTGAAATCGCACTTTAATAACGCAACATTACTCCTTCAGAATCTTTAAAAGACACTTTCATTCTAGTTCCTCTTGATTGGTATAAAGCGCGCAAAGACCGAAATGTTTAAATACATCATTCAGAGATTTAAATAAACACCCAAATATCTGATCACATCAACTATCAGACACCCAGGTC